GCAGGGCGGGGGTGTCTTTGAGTTGTGGATGCCCTGCTGGTTGTAGAGTGAAAGGGACGGACAAAGGGAGCGTTTCGACCTGCCGACACCACTCTGCCACCACTCTGCCTTCTGCCTCCATGCTACTGACTGCTCTAAGCTCTGCACGTAAATGGAATTGCACAGTATTTGTCTCCGTGACTTATTTGACCGAGCCTTGTGTCCTCAAGGTCATCCGCTTTGTAGTATAAGTCAGAATTTCCTTTTCTTTAGATGATTGATATTTCATCGTATTACATGCCACATTTTGCTTATCCATCCATTTGTCCATGGACACTGGGTTGATTCCACGAATTTCCTGGCTCCAGAGTGCCAATGTACAGCAGCATAAAGGTTCAGAGGTGTCCAGGAGTTAGAAGACTATTTATATTAAACATACTTATGTGTATGGGCAGAGATAAGGGCTCCTCCTCTTCTTTGTCTTCTTCCTCCTTCTCCTTACTTTTTAAGCATACTTACTGAAAACATTGCCCTGCCCTGCTCTTTCTCATGTGGTTAAAAAAAAAAAAATGCACAACATAAATTTACCCTCTTAAATTTTAAGTGTATTGTATTGCTGTCATTCAGTCACTAAGTTGGGTCTGACTCTTTGCAACCCCATGGACTGCAGCACACCAGGCTTACCTGTCCTTCACTATCTCACGGTGTTTACTCAAACTCATGTCCATTGGGACAGTGATGCCATTCAACCATCTCATCCTCTGTCGCCCCCTTCTCCTCCTGCCCACAATCTTGCCCAGCAAGCAGGGTCTTTTCCAATGAGTTAGCACTCTGCATCAAGTGGCCAAAGTATTGGAGCTTCAGCATCAGTCCTTCCAATGACTATTCAGAGTTGATTTTCTTTAGGATGGACAGGTTTGATCTCCTTGCTGTCCAAGGGACTCTCAAGAGCATTCTTTAGCACCACAGTTCAAAAGCATCAATTCTTTGGTGCTTAGCCTTCGTTATGGTCCAACTTTCATATCCATACATGACTACTGGGGAAAACCAGAGCTTTGACTATACAGACCTTTGTGGTCAAAGTGATGTCTCTGCTTTTTAATTTGCTGTCATAGCTTTTCTTCCAAGGAGCAAGCATCTTTTAATTTCATGACTGCAGTCACCATCCAGTGATTTTAGAGCCCAAGAAGATAAAATCTGTCACTGTTTCCACTTTTTCCCCATCTATTTGCCTTGAAGTGATGGGACTGGATGCCATGATCTTTGTTTTTTGAATGTTGAGTTTTAAGCTAGCTTTTTCACTCTCGTCTTTCACCCTCATCAAGAAACTCTTTAGTTCCTCTCTGCTTTCTGCAATTAGAATGGTATCTTCTGCATATCTGAGGTTGTTGATATTTTTCCTAGCAATCTTGATTCCAGTTTGTGCTTCATCCAGCCTGGCATTTTGCATAATGTACTCTGCATAGAAGTTAAATAAGCAGGACAACAATATACAGCATTGACATACTCCTTTCCCAATTTGGAACCAGTCTGTTGTTCCATGTCCAGTTCTAACTGTGGCTTCTTGACCTGAATATAGGTCTCACAGGAGGCAGGTAAGATGGTCCGGTATTCCCATCTGTTGAAGAATTTTGCACAGTTTGTTGTGATCTACACACAACAAACTTTCCTGTAGTCAGTGAAGCAGTAGATGTTTTTCTGGAATTCCCTTGTTTTTCAATGATCCAGTGGATGCTGGTAATTTGATCTCTGGCTCCTCTGCCTTTTCTAAATCCAGCTTGTACATCTGGAAGTTTTTGGTTCATGTACTGCTGAGGCCTAGCTTGAAGGATTTTTTAGCTTAATCTTGCCAGTATGTGAAATGAGTGCAAATGTATGGTAGTTTAAACATTCTTTGGCATTGCCTTTATTTGGAATTGGAATAAAAAGTTACCTTTTCCAGTTGTATGGTGCTGAGTTTTCCAAATTAGATGGCATTTTGAGTACAGTACTTAAACAGCATCATCTCTTAGGATTTTAAATGGCTCAGCTGGAATTCCATCACCTCCACTAACTTTGTTCATAGCAATACTTCCTAAGGTCCATTTGACTGCACACTCTAGGATGTCTGGTTCTAGATGAGTGACCACACCATTGTGGTTATGCGGTCATTAAGAGCTTTTTTGTATAGTTCTGTGTATTCTTGCCACCTCTTCTTAATCTCTTCTGCTTCTGTTAGGTCCATACTGTATCTGTCCTTTATTGTGCCCATCTTTGCATGAAATGTTCCCTTTGTGTCTCCTATTTTCTTGAAGAGATCTCTGGTGGTGGTTTAGTCGCTAAGTCATGTTCGACTCTTGTGACCCCATGGACTGTAGTCTGCCAGATCTGTCCATTGAATTTCCCAGGCAAGAATACTGGAGTGGGTTGCCATTTCCTTCTGCAGGGGATCTTCCCTTCCCAGGAATTGAACTGAGGTCTCCTGCATTGCAGGCAGATTCTTTACTGCCTGAGCTAAAAGGGAAGCCCTCCCAGTCTATTTTTTCCCCTCTATTTCTTTGCATTGCTCACTTAAGAAGGCTTTCTTATCTCTCCTTGCTTTTTACTTTTTTAATTTATTGTACTGTTAACTCTATCACACTGCTATACAACAGATATCAATAATTTTCATCTTGCATAACTGAAACCCTATTGTAAACAGTGCTGCATTGAACATAGGGGTACGTATATCTTTTCAAATTGGTATTTTAGAATTCTTTGGATACTCAGAAGTTGATAGCTGGATTATATGATAGTTCTATTCTTAATTTTTTGATGAATCTCCATGCTGTTTTCCATAGTGAGAACACCAATTTACATTCCTGTCAACACTGTCTGAGGGGTCCCTTTCCTCCACCTCCTCACCAACACAGGTTATTTCTTGCCTATTTGGTAATCGCCATTCTAGAAGGCATGAGGTGACTTTGATTTGCATTCCCCTAATAATCGGTGAGGTTGAACATCTTTTCATGTGTGGGAGAAGCAACAGGGTTCACCGGAGGATGGAGACACAGGCTCCGAACGGACTGGAATCCAGCACCTTTAGGGGAAGGCGCAGTAGTAGGAACTGCTCAACAGTCATGCCTTGGAGTTACTTCCGGGGTGGCTTTGGTCATTTTTCTACCCTGTGTCACTGCCTTTGAGAGATGCAGTCCCACGACAGACATACTGATGAGCTACATGTAGATCAAGTCCTTGGCTTGGAGGGGAGAGTAAGTGACCAGTGAAGGGACCACATGGTTTCTGTAGCGGAAGGGCAGGTGACTTGGATTTGCAATCCCAGCAATATGACACATGGTGGCAGAGAGGCTTTCTCAAAGCAGAATAATGTGCTGTCATCTATAAAGGCTTAGGTGACCTCAAAATGGCAAATTCCTGTTCTGGTTCGAGCAAGGTGCCAGGTTGAGTGAAGCTGAGTCTTAACCAAAAGGACTGGGATTCAGTGAGGATGAAAGGGACCATCAAGTAGGGGACATTCTCAACCCAGAAGGCCTCTGGACTCTGTTAACTCTTGGGGTCGCAGGTGGTCAGGCTCTGGCATGTGGCATGGATGGGTGGCATTCTTGGGAAGTGTCGGTGGCATTGCCAACCCAGGGGCCCCTCACCTGCTTGACACCACAGCACTTTCAAATGCCCTTGATCCTGGGCACACATGTCACATCCAATCCTCGTCAAGTCTGAGGATGTCTTAAACAGCTTATAGGCTCCAGCAGGGCCACAGTGCTGGGAAATAGCAAGGGTGGAAGCGTGGAGCCTGGAAGAAGCGAAGCTCGGAGCACAGTGTGTGGATTCAGGAAAGGCGAGGTGGCTGGGCCATCTGGCGGTCTCCACAGACCACTGAGAAGACGGTCTTGCCATTTGAGATGTTCTCTTAATGAAAAGCTTTAAAACTAGGAATAAAACGACACTTTCTACATGAACTTCATACAGCTTTCATCAGCAAACATTTCTTTCTGTGCCTTTGAGGGAAAGGTGGAAAACACAACTGACAGAGTCCCAGCCTTCCTAGAAAGGAGACAGAAAATAAGCAAGAATGGTGGTCTTTCAAAAAAAATTATTTATTTTAATGGAAGGATAATTGCTTTACAGAATTTTGTTGTTTTCTGTCAAACATCAGCATCAAACATCTGTAGATCAGCCAGAGGTGTACATATGTCCCCTCCATCTTGAGAGAGTGGTGGTCTTAAAACATGGCCCCCCCTTCTCTGGCACTCCTCCTAAGGAGAGGTGGAGTTGATAACCGCTCCATCCTGAATCTGGGCAGGCCTGGGACTGCTTCAGACATTAAAGAAGGGCACAAGTGACCCCAGACTAGCTCATAGAAGGCCGCGTCTCTTGGGACACTTGCTCTGCTGAGACGCCTCTTCGGGTGTGCCTGCCTGCTCAGCGGCTCAGTCGTGTCTGACTCTTTGCGGCCCCATGGACTGTAGCCTGCCAGGCTCCTCTGTCCGTGAATTCTCCAGGCAAGAATACTGGAGTGGGTTGCTATGCCCTCCTCCTGGGGATCTTCCCCACCCAAGGATCCAACCCACGTGTCTTACATCTCCTGCATCGGCAGGCAGGTTCTTTACCTCGAGCGCCAGACGCACCTGCAAATGCTCTCAGAAAGGCAGCCCTGGTGGAAAGGCCACAAGGTGGCGCTGTACTCAAAGTCCCAAGTGAGCATCCTTTCCAGTCCTCACTTGATGCTAGCCGCCAGCATCCAGGTCACCCCCTCCCCACCTCCGCCCTCCCACAGCCTGGAGCGGAAACAATTTATCCCTGCCTTGTCCAGATTCTGACCCACAGAACTCGTGATCGCAACGGAATGATTATTGCCTCACTACATTTGAGACGGTTTCTTATGGGGCAGTATATAGTCAGAACAAGCAAATAATATAATGTTCGTGTTACACAGCGTCAATGTTATAAAGAAAGTCAGGGCGGAGAAGTGCTGATGAGCAGAGTGGCAAATGAAGTGAGTTCAACCAAATCTTTAAAAAAAAAAAAAAAAGTGAACCAGAATGAGGGCAGAGCAAGAGCTGAGAACGTTCCTAGGAGGGCGTGTGAACCTGCTTGCCTCAGTTCACAGCTACTCGGGGCAGCCCCTTCCCAGTGACCTGAGCGCGGAGAACCACATATCCTGGCTCCTAAGTTCAGGCCAGCTGCTTCTTTGGGAAAATCAACCAAATTTAAACTTTTTTTCTAATCCTGGGTTACTTCAGGGATCTTTGTGGGTGCTTTTCAGTTCAATTGCTCAGTTCTGTCCGACTCTTTGCGACCCAATGGACAACAGCACGCCAGGCCTCCCTGTCCATCACCAACTCCCAGAGCTTGCTCAAACTCATGTCCATCGAGTCCGTGATGCCATCTAACCATCTCATCCTCTTTCACCCTCTTCTGCTTTCAGTTTTTCCCAGCATCAGGGTCTTATCCAGTGAGTTAGTTCTTCGCATCAGGTGGCCAAAGTATTAGTGCTCCAGCTTCAGCATCAGTCTTTCCAATGAATATGCAGGACTTATTTCCTTAAGGATGGACTAGTTGGATCTCCTTGCAGTCCAAGGGACTCTCAAGTCTTCTCCAACACCACAGTTCAAAAGCATTAATTCTTTGGCGCTCAGCTTTCTTTATGGTCCAACTCTCACATCCATACATGACTACTAGAAAAACCAATAGCTTTGACTAAATGGACATTTGTCAGCAAAGTAATGCCTCCTACTTTTTAATATGCTGTCTAGGTTGGTCATAGCTTTTCTTCCAAGGAGCAAGCATCTTTTAATTTCATGGCTGCAGTCACCATCTGCAGTGATTTTGCAGCCCAATAAAATAAAGCCTGTCACTGTTTCCATTGTTTCCCCATCTATTTGCCATGAAGTGTGATAAGACTGGATGCCATGATCTTAGTTTTTCTGAATGTTGAGTTTTAAGCCAGCTTTTTTACTCTCCTCTTTCACTTTCATCAAGTGCTTTTTGATTAATAATAATAAAAGGCGGGGGTATGCTTTTGACCAACTGCAATTTTCTTTCTTTTTTTCCTATTTCTTTTTCTTTTGCGGCCATGCCACACATGTTGGGGTTCTTAGTTCTCCAACAAAGAATCAAACCTGTACTTTCTGCAATGGAAGTGAGTTAAGACTTTAACCATTGGACTGCCAGGGAGAACCCCCAACTGCAATTTTCCTACCCACCTTTTATATAATTTATTTTTTGCACATGCTATAAAATTCAAAAGATACAAAAGTTCAGAGCAGAAAGTCTCCATCCCACTCCTGAGCCCACCCCCACTCAGTTACCCTCCCCTTGAGGCAGCTCTCTGACCAGCCTTGAGAGGTGTCTTTCCCGAAGCAGCCTCAGCATTTACAATGACACAAAAGCAGATAACACCTGTCATTCTACACCTTGATTTTTTTCACTAATGCCTTGGAGTTTTCTCCATATCATTCCATAGACATCTTTCTCATTCTTTAACACTTTTTTGCTTTGGAATAATTTTAGTTTTCAGAAAAATTACAGACAGTAGCAGTTGCTGTCTATATACCTTTCACCCAGCTTCCCCTGATATTAACATTTAACAACTGTAGCACACTTGTCAAAACTAAGAAATTATCATTAGTAAAATACTATAATATCAATGAAGTGATATAATTTATTCCAATTTCCCTAGTTTTTCCACTAAGAGCCGTTTTTTGTTCTGGAACCCAACTCAGGATACCCCTAGAATCTAGTTATCGTATGTCTCCTTAGCCTTTTCCAACCTGTGACAATTTCTCAATCTATTCATATCCTGAGGACCTTAACACTTTTGAAGAATATTGGCTAAGTATTTTGTAGAATATCCTGCAAATTTTCTGATGAGTTCTTGTGATTAGAATGGGGCTATATGTTTTTGGAAAGAATACTTCAAAGTGAAATACCCTTCTTAATGCATCATATTAAGGTATTGACAGCACAACATCAATGGCAATATAATCTTAATCAGTAGGCTAAGATTGTGTCTGCTAGGTTTCTCCACATAATTTTTTTTCTTTTTGAACTTTATTCCTTAGAAGTGAGTCACTCAACCCAGATCACACACAAGGGGAAAGGAATTAAGTTCCATCTCCCAGAAGAGGTCAGCAAGCATTTACACACATTATTTGGAATTCCATGTGAAAGATTTGTCCCTTTTCCCCTTTTAATCATCATTCAGTCATTTTTTCAAAAGTAAAATATAATTGATTTACAAAATTAGTTTCAGAGGTACAACACTGATTCAAAAATTTTATATTATAAACTTTTATAGTATAGTATAAATTTTATAGTATAGTATAAGACTTCTATAGTATGGTATAACCTTTTTTATAGTTTATAGTATAAATTTTTATACTACATTTTATAGTGTGAAATATACTTCACTTGAAGTTCTTACAAAATGTTGACTGTATTCTCTGTAGCTTATTTATTTTCTACATAGTGGTTTGTGTCTCATAATCCCCTAAACCTTTTCCTTCTCCCCACTGATAACCAGTAGTTTGTTCTCTGCATCTGTTCCTGATTGTTTATATTCATCCTATTTTTTTTTAGATTACAAATATAAGTGTTAACATACAGAATTTATCTTTGTCTGATTAATTTCACTAGGCTTAATACCCGCCAGGTCCATCTATGTTGGTGTGATGGCAAGTGTTCATTCTTTTTTATTGTTGAGTAACAGTCCATTGTGTGTGTGTGTGTGTGTGTACACTACATCTTCTTTATCCATTCACTTGTTGATAGATGCTTAGGCTGCTTCCACTTCTTGGCTGTTGTAAGTCATGCTGCTATGAACACTGGGATGTGTGTATCTTCTGGAATTATTGTCTTCATTTTCTTCAGATATATACCCAGTGGTAGAATTGCTGGATCATACGGTAGTTCTAATTTTAGCTTTTTGAGAAACCTCCATAGTGCTTTCAACAGTGTCTGCACCAATGTACATTTCCACCAACAGTGTACCAGAGTTACCTTTTCTCACATCCTCACCAGCATTTGTTTGTGATCCTTTTTGATGGTAACTGTTCTGATGGGTGTGAGGTAATATCTCATCGTGGGTTTGATTAGCATTTTCCTGGTGATTAGTGATGCTGAGCATGTTTTCATGTGTCTGCTGGCCCTCTGCATGTCTTTGGAAAAATGTCTATTCAGGTCTTCTCATTTTAAAAATCAAGCTGTTTGTTTGATATCGAGCTATATGAAGTGTTTATATGTTTTGGATGTTAACCCTTATCAGTCATATCACTTGCAAGTATTTTCTTCCATTTAGCAGGCTGTCTTTTTGTTTTGTTGACAGTTCGCTTTGCTGTGCAAAAGCTTTTAAGTTTAATTAGGCCCCACTTGTTTATTTTTGCTTTTTAAAAAAATTTTTTTTTTATTTTTGCTTTTTTTCCCTTTTCCTTAGGAGACAGATCCAGAAAACCACTGCTCTGATTTATGTCAAAGAGTGTTCTGCCTATGTTTTCTTCTAGTTTTATGGTTTCTGGTCTTAACACATTATTGACTGGTGATGTATTAAAACATCTTTTGTTAGCCGAACATTATTGACCAGAGATGATTTAGTATTCACCTACATAACAAATCGCTGGCCACAGGTGTTAGTTTCTACAAAAATTCCCTGGTTAATAATGTATTAAATTTAGGACTTTAATCCATTTTGAGTTTATTTTTGTATACAGTGTGAGAAAATTAGCACATTTTCTAATTTCATTGATTTATATGAATCTGTCCTGTTTGCCCAGCATCACATATTGAAGAGACTGTCTTTTCCCCACTGGATGTTTTTGCCTCCTTTGTCATAGATCAATTGGCTACAAGTGTGTGAGTTATTGCTGGGCTCTCTATCCTATTCCACTGACCTATATGTCTGTTTTGGGGCCAATACCATACTGGGTTTTGTGGTTTTTTTAAATATTTGTTTATGGCTGCGTCAGGTCTTAGTTGCAGCAGGCGGGGTCTTTTGTGGCTCACGGGCTCCAGAGTGCATGGGCGCTGTAGTTGCCACACACAGCCTTAGTTGCCCCTCACATGTGGGATCTTAGTTCCCACACCAGGGGTCTTATTTCTTGTTGCAGCCTTTTCTTTTCCACTTAGGAAAGACCCTGTAACATGGTTTTTAGGGTGGGTTTAGTATTGACTAGCTTTTAGTTTTTACTTGTCTGACAAGTTCTTTACATGTCCTTCCATTCTAGATGGGCTTCCCTCCTAGCTCTACTTGGTAAAGAATCTGCGTGCAATGCAGAAGGTGCCGGTTCAATTCCTGGGTTGGGAAGATCCTCTAGAGAAGGGAAAGGCTATCCACTCCAGTATCCTTGGGCTTCCTTTGTGGCTCAGCTGGTAAAGAATCCACCTGCAATGAGGGAGACCTGGATTTCATCACTGAGTTGGGAAGATCTCCTAGAGAAGGGAACAGCTACCCACTCCAGTATTCTGGCCTGGAGAATTCTATGGACTGTATAGTCCATGGTGTCACAAAGAGTCAGACACAACTGGGCGACTTTCACTTTTCACTTTTGTTTATGACTCTTTCTCTGCATCCCTTTAGAATTTTCTTTTTAGCTTCTGCCATCTTAATTATGATATATGTTGGCATGGATCTCTTTGGATTCATCTTTTCTGGGGCCCTCTATACTTCTTCTACCTGGATATCCGTTTCCTTCTTCAGGTTCAGGATGTTTTCACCCATAATTTCACCAAATACATTTTTGACCCTTTTCTGTCTCTTCTTCTTTTGGGATCTCTGTTATGTAAATGTTGGTACAATTGATGTCGTCCCAGAGGTCCCTTAAACTGTTCTTATTTTTAAAATTTGTTTCACTTTTTTCTGACTGGATGATTTCCATTATTCTATCCTCCAGATTACTTCTGCATTCTTCTGTGTCACGTAGTCTCCTGTTAACTCCTTCTAGTGTTTTTTTTGTTGTTGTTATAGTTATTATAATTTTCAGATTTGACCAGATTTTCTTTTTATATTTTGTAATTCCTTACTAAAATCATCACTGTGTTCATCTATTCTTTTCCCTATATTAATTGGCTTTCTTATTACTAAGTCTTTGAGCTTTTTCCTTGTAAATTATTTATCTCTGTTTCATTACTTGTTTTTCTTACTCTTGCTTTTGAAACAAATTCCTCTGTCCTCTCATTCTGATTAAATGTCTCTGTCTCCACGGAATTAGGTGAAACAGTCACCCATCCTGGTCTTGTGTGAGAGCAACCCTGTACAGTCCGTGTGTGCCCAGTGGCTTTTCTGGGAGAGCTGGGTCTGACACGCGTGCATGTGTGCAAAGTCGCTCGGTAGCGTCTGACTCCTTGTAACCCTATGGTCTGTAGCCGGTCAGGCTTCTCTGCCCATGAGCTTCTCCAGGGGTCGCCGAGCCCTCCTCCAGGGGGTCTTCCCAGCCCAGGGGTGGAACCCAAGGCTGTTGTCTCCTGCATTGGCAGGCTGCTCCTCCCCACTAGCGCCGCCTGGTGGAAGCCTGAGCACAAGTCATCAGCCCCAGGGTGTGCGGCCGTTATCACCTTGACAGGAAGTGAGGCTAGAAACTAGTAAGTCCTGAGCATCAGGTCCCGGCTGTCTGTCCCCTCTGTGTGTGCGCTCCCTGCTCCCCGCGTTGGCACCTTTGTCCTAAAGGGGAGCAGTGCTGGGCAAGAGGGGCTGGCGTGGGCGCTCAGCGTGGGCTGGGCCACGGGCTGGGGCAGTCTCTGCACCTGTCAGAGTTCCTGTTCCCTCCCTCTCTCCTGCCTGCGGAAGCACCAAAAATGGCTTCCCGCACCTGTCCAGGTGCTGTGCGGGGTCTGAGCTGGCTCTGTCCCCCACAGCCCTGCCGTCCCCCAGCCGGGGCAGCCTCCGCCCTAGATATATGCACCCCAGTGTTCATAGCAGCACTGTTTACAACAGCTAAGGCATGGAAGCAACCTAAATGTCCACTGACAGACAAATGGAGAAAGAGCATGTGATGTATATAATAATAATACATGTTACATGTATAGACACATGTATACTGGAATGCTGCTGCTGCTAAGTCGCCTCAGTCATGTCCGACTCTGTGTGACCCCAGAGACGGCAGCCCACCAGGCTCCCCCGTCCCTGGGATCCTCCAGGCAAGAACACTGGAGTGGGTTGCCATTTCCTTCTCTAATGCATGAAAGGAGAAGTGAAAGTGAAGTCGCTCAGTCGTGTCTGACTCTTAGCGACCCCATGGACTGCAGCCTACCAGGCTCCTCCATCCATGGGGTTCTGCAGGCAAGGGTACTGGAGTGGGTGCCATTGCCTTCTCTGAGACTGGAATACTACTCAGCCATAAAAAGAAACAACGCCACTTGCGACAACATGGAAGGACCTACAGCTAGTCACACTGAGTGAAGTAATTCAGACAGAGAAAGACAAGCACCATACAACATCACTCACAGGTGGCGTAGCAAATATGATACAAATGAGCTTATTCATAAAACAGAAACTGATTCACAGACATAGAAGACATGCTTATGGTTACCGAGGGGGAAACAGGCAGTGAAAGTGTTAGTTGCTCTGTTGTGGCCAATTCTTTGCAACCCCTGGGACTGTAGCCTGCCAGGCTCCTCTGTCCCTGGAATTCTCCAAACAATAATACTGGAATCGGTAGCCATTCCCTTCTCTAGGGGATTTTCCTGACCCAGGGATGGAACCTGGGTCTCCTGCATGGCAGGCAGATGCTTTACCATCTGAGGCAACAGGGAAGCACGAAAGAGGCATGAGGAGAGAGAAATTAGGAGTTTGGGGATTAGCAGGTACAAACTACTATACATGCAAACTACTACAGAAGGTCTATCTTCTATGATATACACAAGGTATATCAGAGGGAACTATATTCAATATCCTATAATAATAGTGGAAAAGAATATATATCATATTCTATTATATATATATATATACACTATATATATATATAAATCGAATCGCTTTGCTGTATACCAGAAACTAACACAACATTATAAATAACTACAAGAAAAAATATAATTAAAAACGAGTTTATTTCTGGGACTTCCCTTGTGGCCCAGTGGTTTAAGACTTCACTTTCCAGTGCAGGGGGCATAGGTTTGAGCCCTGTTTGGGGAACTAAGATCCCACATGCTGTGTAGCATGGCCAACAAAAAAGAACATATTCCTTTTTATTACTGAAGAGTGTTTCATGGTATGAGTGTACCGCAGTGCTGTAGATTAAACTTTTGTGTTGCTGTATGGAGAAACTGAGCCCAATATAACAGTATTTAGAGGTGGGACTTTGGGGAAATGTTTTGGTCATGAAGGCAGGACACTTAAGAATGGGATTAACACCCTTATAAAAGAAACTCCAGGCTTTCCTCGTGGCTCAGCAGAAAAGAATCTGCCTGCCAATGCAGGAGACACATGTTAGATCCCTGGATTGGGAAGATCCCCTGGAGAAGGACATGGCAACCCACTCCACTCCAGTCCTCTTTCCTGGGAAATCCCGTGGACAGAGGACCGTTGTGGGCTACAGTCCATGGGATCACAGAATTGGACATGAGTTAGTGACTTAACAACAGCAAATGAAATTCCAGAAGAGGAAGCAGGCTCTCTTCAGACATCAGGTCTGCTGGAGCCTGGATCTTGGACTTCCCACTCTCGACATGTGAGAAATAAGTTTCTGTTGTTTATAAGCCTGCCTGCCTATGGTAATTTGTTAGAGCATCCCAAACCGACTAACACACACAATTTGTTGAACCATCCATTCACCCACTAAAGAACATGCCGAATCATTTCTGGTTTTTGATTATTACAAATAAAGCTGCTATGAACATTCATGCACAAGTTTTTTTCTTCTTGTTTTAAGATCTGTTTATTTTTTATTTTGTCTCTGGCTGTGCTGGATCTTCATGACCTTCTCTAGTTACGATGAGCAGAGGCTACCCTCGAGCTGCAGTGTTAAGGGCTTGTCATTGCAGTGGCTTCCCTCGTGGTGGCTGCCAGACTCTAGAGCACAGGCTTGCTGGTTGTGGCGCACGAGGCTTAGTTGCTCCGCGGCATGTGGTATCTTTTTGGACCAGGGATCAAACCTGTGTCCCCTGCATTGGCAGGCTGATTCTTAACCACTGAGCCATCAGGCAAGCCCATGCACAGGTTTTTATGCGAACATACATTTTGATTTCTCTGGGATTCCTGGTTGTATGGTAATTGCACATTTAGTTTTATAAGAAATTCCACAGTTTTCCAGAGTATGCGTGCCATTTTACATCCCCCCAGCAATGTGTGAGTAACTCAGTTTCTCTGTGTCCTTACTAGCATTTGATATTGTCACTATTTTTTTGGTAATTTTAGTGATTCTGGTAGGTGCGTAGTGACATCTCATTGTGGTTTATTTATTTGGTTGCATCAGGTCTTAGTTGCTGCGTGGGTTCTCTAGTTATGGCCCATGGGCTTAGGTGCCCTGCGGCCTGTGGGATCTTCCCACACCAGGGATCGAACCCATGTCCTCTGCATTGAAAGGCAAATTCTTTACCACTGGACTACCATGGACATCCCTCACTGTGGTTTTAATTTGCATTTCCTTAATGGCTAAAGATGTTCAATATCTTTCAGCGTGCTTATGTGAAATCTGTAAATCTTCTTCAGTGAGATGTCTGTTCCTGTTTTCTGCTCATTTTCTAATTGGATTGTTGGGTGATTTGGGGTTTTGTTTTGCCTTTACTGTTGAATTTTGGGAGTCTTTATATTCTAGAAAGTAGTCCTTTGTTGGATATATGGTTTGCAAATATTTTCTCCAACTCTGTAGCTTACCTCTTCTTCCTCTTGACTGTCTTCCACAGAGCAGCAAGAGTTTTACATTAAAAAAAAGATTTAGTTGACTGCATGGGGTCTCAGTTGCAGCACACAGAACCTTTGATCTTCTTTTGCGACATGTGGGATCTAGTTTCTGGACCAGGAATCGACCCTGAGCCTCCTGCATTGAGCCACTGAACCACCAGGGCCATAAAGAAGGGTGAGCACAGAAGAACTGATGTTTGACATTTTGTTGTCATTGTTCAGTTGCTAAGTTGTGTCTGACTCTTTGCAATGCAATGGACTGTAGCACGCCAGGTTTCCCTGTCCTTCACTATCTTCTGGAGTTCACTGAAACTCATGTCCACTGAATTGGTGATACTATCTAACCGTCTCATCCTCTGCCACCCCCTTCTCCTTTTGCCTTCGGTCTTTCCCAGCATCAAGGTCTTTTCCAATGAATTGGTTCTTTGCATCAGGTGGCCAAAGTATTGGTGCTTCAGCATCAGTCCTTCCAATGAATATTCAGGACTGATTTCCTTTAGGATGGACTGCTTTGATCTCCTTGCAGTCCAAGCGAGTCAAGAGTCTTCACCAACACCAAAGTTCAAAAGCATCAATTCTTCGGCACTCAGCTTTCTTTGTAGTCAAACTCTCACATCCATACATGACTACTGGAAAAACCATAGCTTTGACTAGATGGACCTTTGTCAGCAAAGTGATAGCTCTGCTTTTTAATATGCTGTCTAGGTTTGTCATAACTTTTTGTCCAAGGAAAAAGCGTCTTTTAATTTCATGGCTGCAGTCACCGCCCACAGTGATTTTGGAGTTCAAGAAAATAAAGCCTGTTACTGTTTCCATTTTTCCCCCATCTATTTGCCGTGAAGTGATGGGACCGGATACCATGATCTTAGTTTTTTTGAATGTTGAGTTTTTTAAACCAGCATTTTCACTCTCCTCTTTCAACTTCATCAGGAGGCTTTTTAGTTCCTCCTCACTTTCTTCCATTAGAGTGGTGTCATCTGCATATCTGAGGTTGTTGATATTTCTCCGGGCAATCTTAATTCCAGCTTGAGCTTCATCCAGCCCAGCATTTCACATGATGTACTCTGTATATAAGTTAAATAAGCAGGGTGACAATATACAGCCTTGACATACTCCTTTCCCAGTTTTGAACCAGCTATTGTTCCATGTCCGGTTCTGTTACTTCTTGACCTTCATACAGGTTTCTCAGGAGGCAGGTTAGGTGGTCAGGTATTCCCATCTCTTTAAGAATTTTCCAGTTTGTTGTGATCCACACAAAGGCTTTAGCATAGTCAGTGAAGTGGAAGTAGATGTTTTGTCTGAAACTCTCTTGATGATCCAATGGGTGTTGGCAATTTGATCCCTGGTTCCTCTGCCTTTTCTAAATTCAGCTAGTACATCTGGAAGTTCTCGGTTCACATACTGTTGAGGCCTAACTTGATGGATTTTTAGCATTACCTTGCTAGAATGCAAAGCAATGAATCGTAGCTTGAACATTATTTGGCTTTGTCCTTCTTTGGGACTGGAATGAAAACTGACCTTTTCCAGTCCTGTGGCCACTGCTGAGTTTTCCAAATTTGCTGGCATATTGAGTGCAGCACATTCATAGCATCGTCTTTTACGATTTTAAACAGCTCAGCTGGAATTCCATCACCTCCACTAGCTTTGCTTATAGTAATGCTTCCTAAGGCCCACTCAACTTCACATTCCAGGGTGTCTGGCTCTAGGTGAGTGATCACACCTTCGTGGTTATCTGGGTCATTAAGACCTTTCTTGTATTGTTCTCCTGTGTATTCTTGCCACCTCTTCTTAAAATCTCTTCTGCTTCTGTTAGGTCTTTACCATTTCTGTCCTTTGTCATGCCCATCTTTAGTTTTTCCTAACCTCCATCCATAGTTTTTCAGGCCCTCTGTCTACCAGATCTAATCCTTTGATCTATTTGTCACTTACACTGTAAAATCATAAGGGATTTGATTTAGGTCATACCTGAAAGGCCTAGTCGTTTTCCTTACTTTCTTAAACTTAAGTCTGCATTTTGCAATAAGGAGCTGATGATCTGAGTCAGGTCTTGTTTTTGCTGACTGGATAGAGCTTCTCTATTTTTGGTTGCAAAGAATATAATCAGCCTTATTTCCATATTGACCATCTGGTGATGTCCATGTGTAGAGTCATCTCTTGTGTTGTTGGAAGGTGTTTACTATGACTAATGGGTTCTCTGTTAGCCTTTGCCCTGCTTCATTTTGAACTCCAAGGCCAAACTTACCTGTTACTCCAGATATCTCCTGAGTTCCTACTTTTGTATTCCAGTCCTATGATGAAACAGACATCTTTTTTTTGGTGTTAGTTCTAGAAGGTCTTTTAGGTCATCATAGAACCATTCAACTTCAGCTTCTTCAGCATTAGTGGTTGGGGCAGAGACTTGGATTACTGCGATATTGAATGGTTTGCTTTGGAAACAAACCGAAATCGTTCTGTTGTTTTTGAGATTGCACATGAGAACTGCATTTCAGACTCTTTTGTTGACTATGAGGGCTACTTCATTTCTTCTAAGGGATTCTTGCGCACAGTAGTAAATATAATGG